CTTAGTCTGACCCGTCACCCAGGACCTGTTTGCCTTGGGGGACGCTACCAGGGACATATAGCCCCGACAACATAGCTCCTAGGATCACTCGGGTACTCAAACCCCTCCACCACAATAAGGTGGCGGTTCAAGGAGGGGATAGATTTTCAAAATGGTAAAAATTTGCAAAAAGTCAATGTTTGAAGCAATAAACTTTCCATTTATCATCAGGGGAAGATGGACTGTCGTGAATACAGGGATGCTCAGCAGTTTGCCAGCGATGTCAGACTCATGTTCTCCAACTGCTACAAGTACAACCCACCTGATCATGATGTTGTGGGCATGGCACGGAAGCTGCAGGTGAGCTTGGCCGTTTGTTTCTACTTTTCCAAAATTCGGACTGAATAACAATACTGTGAAGAATTGGGTAATTCTCCCCCCCCCCCTTTTAAACTCTGATTTCGACTGCAGGATGTGTTTGAGTTCCGTTTTGCCAAGATGCCAGATGAACCACATATGGATCACACATCCATATCAGTGACTGGCCACCCCACTTCCTCTTCATCCTCTTCCTCCTCCTCCTCCTCCTCCTCATCTTCCTCTACCTCTGAGAGTGAGCCCAGCAGCGAGAGTGAAGAGAGCGAAAGCAGCCCCAGCTCAGACAGTGAGGAAGAACGAGCACATCGCTTGGCTGAGTTACAGGATCAGGTGTGCACACAAGTAAGACCTCCAGTACTCTTTATTTATCCAGAAAATTTCATGTGGAAACAAAAACGTTTTTATATCATGATAATACTTTTGTGACATTGAATTTTCTCACAGCTTCGTGCTGTGCACGAGCAGCTGGCTGCCCTTTCTCAAGGCCCCATCATCAAGCCTAAGAAGAAGAAAGAGAAGAAGGACAAAAAGGAGAAGAAGAAAAAGAAAAAGCTTGAGAAGAGAAGTCGAGGCAGCAGAAGCAGAGCTGGCTCTGAGGAATGGAAGATGCCTGGCAAGATGCTGAAGAGCAAATCTGCCCGAGCAGGTGGCTCCCAGGCAAAGAAAGGCCAGGGGAAGAAGAGTAACAAGAACAGCAAGTGAGTAGATGCTAGTTGCTCATTTTGCTAATAGCAATAATAATAACTTTAGCTCAGATTCACATTTATTTGGGGCCAGTTCAGAATTTCCAACAGCTGATAATATTGGCCTTTGTTCCAATGTTATCACTTTCTCTTGATTCTTCAGGAGCACAAAGAAGCCGTTCTGCCCCCCAGTGGCCACATCTATGCTGCCGCACTACGACTCAGAGGAAGAAGAGGAGATTGTGCCCATGACATATGATGAAAAACGCCAGCTGAGCCTCGACATAAACAAGCTACCGGGGGAAAAGCTGGGCCGTGTGGTCCACATCATCCAGTCCAGGGAGCCCTCGCTGAGGGACACCAACCCAGAGGAGATAGAGATTGATTTTGAAACACTGAAGCCATCCACACTGAAAGAGCTGGAGCGCTACGTCATGACCTGTCTGAGGAAGAAACCTCGTAAACCTTACGGTGAGCAAGGTAGATGAAAACGTCCACCATGCACATACCACTACATTTTGGTTTAATAATGTCGTGTTTGTATCTTTGCATTATTTTGTTATTAGCATTACAGACTTTCTTTTTAATTTTTTTACCAAGTGCATGAGAACAACCAAGATTTAGATCATATGCAGTTCTACACCTTGAAAGATTGTTACCTTGTACACCTTGTAAAGATGGCGCCGACAGCAATGGCAGCCTTGGTTACTCGCGCTCTCCTCATGTACCAGTCAAATTCCTCGTGTATCCGACACACCTGGCCAATGAAGCAGATTTTGATTCTGAAGTTGGGTTTTCCCAGCAAACTGATAGGCAGACAAACAAACTGACAGGCATGTAACGTTGTTTTCTCAACCAGTTAATGTACTTGACTTTAGTACATAGACATCCTTTGCTCATTGGCGCATTTGAGTGAATGAAGAGCTAGTTTTTCCCTCCTGAGTAAACACTGCCGGATAAGATCCTCAAATCCAGTACAGGGATGTGTACACATTATTATAGGATAAGGATAATCACCTTTATTGGCCAAGTATGTCACACACAAGGAATTTGTTTCTGGTACAGAACCAAGGCAGCCATCTGCGGCACCAACTCAAATAATGGCTCTAACAATTGGAGGCAATGGGGGGGTTTCAGTGTCTTTTTTAGTGTGAGGATATGTTGCTTTTTGTTTTATATGATAGTACACTGTAGTGATGGTCAAACCAGGCTTTTCTGAAGCAGTCTATTGTATGGCCAAAGGTTCATTGGTGACCTCTGCTGTGAAAAGTAATGAAGTGCAGTCAGAGCATAATTCATCATGCCATTGTTGTAACATAAATGTTACAGACATGTTGCTTGTGTAACTGAGGAAAGGGAACCCTTTGTTGATTTTTACTTTTTTATACTATATGTTGCCTTATAGTGAGCTGTTCCTTCAAAATGCTCCCAAACACAAGACCATTTCCTCTTTGTTGCAGGATCCATTTTTGCATTCTAACTGTCCAAGAACTGACTCAAACACAATTCAAATTTCCAAATCCACTTCAGCACTAAACTTGGCACATTGGCAAAATCTTGGCCTTTACTGCAAGCCAGTCAACCATCACAAAAATCTTGGAAGATTTTGAGTTCTCTAGATCAAACAAACTGAAACGGTTACATGACTCTGCAAGAAACTGAGGCCTCTGTTGTCATCAATCATGTGCTTCTCTGAAAATGATACAATCCTCGATACTCAATGCTGCAGCTGATACTGTTGTGCGTACTCCAGCCATGCTTCAGAGCCTCTGTGTCATACGTAACATCATTACTGTACTGCAAACCTGAGGGGTTTATACTGTTTTATTGAGACAACAAGCAATTTGACATCATGGCCTTTAGGAAATTGAAAATTGTAATTTTCCTAATATTTCATAGACTAAGCATTCAATGGTAAATTTTGAAAATAATCAGAAGATTAATCTGCAGTACAGTGTGTCACATGGTTCTGTCCCATTTCTGTTGAGTTTGACCCACACTACCTCAGGAACAAGCTCCTGTGTTATAAGCCACTTTCTAGCATACCCTAAACAATAACTGTCCTTCATTTACACCAATACCCAGCTCAGTGCATTAGCATGTGGATCCCAGCCCATGTGTATACCAGTCTTGTCATGTTTTCACTTGCAGCTGCAAAGAAAGGAAGTACTGGCAAATCTAAAGAGGAGCTGACTCTGGAGAAGAGGCGCGAGCTGGAGAGGAGGCTGCAGGATGTCAGTGGGCAGCTCAACTCTGTCAAGAAACCTACTAAGCCTAAAGGTGACCTCCCACATCATCAGCCTCTATATACAAGAAAAACTGTAGATTTGAGAACTGGATATAACATTTCAGAGAAACTGAGAAAAACTGTACTAGGTCGCTTTCTTTCTGTCTCAGCCTGGTGTATTCATAAAACTCCTGTGTGCTCTTCTCTCCTCAGTGGAGAAGCCCAGTGCTGTAGAGACTCACACCCAGCCCTCACGCCTCAGTGGCAGCAGCTCCAGCTCTGATTCCTCCTCGTCCTCCTCTTCTTCCTCCTCCTCAGACAGCAGCGATTCAGAAACTGGCTGAGATGCTTTGCACTGGCTCAGACAGAAAACACTTGAAACTCAGGGACTTGGGCTGGCCCAGGACACAACACACCCTGAAACAGTAGTGGGCTGAGATATTAGACACCACGGAGAAAACAAAACAAACAAACAAACAAACAAAAAAAAACACCAAGTGGACTCCTAAAATGTTGCGAATGTGGCACTGATGGATGTGAATCAGTGTCTCTGTGGATAATTGTAGAAATGCCTCAGTTTCTCCCTCCTGTCCTTTGTAAATACTTGTACAAATTTATGTTTCTTTTATAAAGAAGAATTTTATGGTGATCCCCAAAGAGGGAAGTGGAGTAGTGAAAAGGATGTTAAAAGATGGATCTTGCTCCAGGTGTGTTGTGCCTGGCCTCACACTGCGGGAATGACAGTTTATTTATTTGTTGTCTTTATCCACATTTCCTCAGATGTTACTGGAATTTCAACCAGCAACATTTTGGGCACAGGCCTAGCTTTTCTGCCACACTTAACTTTAGATGAACCTCTAGACTCGCCCAGTAAGGGATCAAGATTGTTAATAATAATTAGGTTGTTTGGAAAAATACAGTATTGTTAAGGCATTCTGGTTCTTCCTCATGCTGACAGGTCTAAGAGCTACTGAGAAGTGAATAAAGCATAGCTATGATATTTGCCATATTCAGGTCAAAATTTAAAGTTGGTTACAGTTTGAGATCTAGATATATTTCTGTTGTGTTGACACACATTCTCAGTTGGACATTTTAGAGCTTGTCATTGTTTTTTGAAAACAAGGCAGCTTTATGGAGTGTAGAACCAGCTCAGCATCTGTAATTATGAAGTTTGCATTTAAGTTGCATATTCAGTTTGTACTGATGTTATAGCTGCACTATTCTCCTAAACGCCCACCAGCCATTTTAAGACTGAGTAGCCCCATAGACATTGAAGTACTTGTCTGTTCTCAGTATTTTTCCATCAGTTCTCACAGTTCTGCTTTGATATAGCTCTCAGCGTTTCAATTTGTTACATCAAACAGTAACTCTTAAGAGCTGCTTCTCAATCTCATATTATAGTGCTTTTTTTTTTGCACACTAATCTTTTCAACATGTGAAGTATTGCATTAGCATTTTTTGAAGATATCTGTAGCACTTGAAAACTCAGCTGATATTCCTGAGAGCAATCTGTTGGCTGCTCACCACTCACTGGAACAACTTGTGTTGACTGAAACACACTAAGCTGAAACGGTTTCCCATAAAGATCCATGCATAGATAAAGTTGTTGAATGTGCAGTGAAATAAGATGTAGTTGTACATAGTGTTTGCTGTTGCACAGACTTTTATTTCTGCTGTTCTTTTTTTCCTTGTTTCCTTTTTATACATGCTGTTCTTTCCCATTCCAGTTCCAACTCTTAGTTGCCTCTGAAGAGCATTCACATCAGCATTGCTGCCTCTGGTCAAGCAGTTTGCTGCCTTTCATTTGACAACTGTTTATTAAAATATTCTCTTCTGTAGAAGTTTGAATTGTGTGTGGCTGTTTGGAGCCAGTGGCGGTTTCAAATTGTAGTCAAGCCTTTATTGGTCAACAGACAGTTGACAGTTTTATGATTGGATAGTATATCAATAAGTCTAGAAAATAAATTTGAAACTATTTTGATAATCTAAACAGCAAATGTGATATTTGTGTTTTTTGTAGCTTCTCGGTGTTCACTTGTTTTCCTCTGTGTAATGTTCCTCCACTAGGTGGCAGCAGTTAGTCATGTTCAAGTCTGAACAAATTGGTGAAGTCAGATGTGCACATGTCTCTTGTTTTGTGGTTTCAGGAAGTTTTTTCATACAGTAAATCCAGTTGTGGTGTTTGAAAGGGATGTGAAACCTTCTCAGTTTGGATGTTCAGGTGACCTGAGATACAGCTCGGCGCCAAATCTGTTGGCTGAATTATTTGCCCTCAAGGTAAGTTTTGGCAAAAGTACTTATTCATTATTGTTAAGGGCCATTTTGGTTAAATCAAATCAGAATTACTACATTAGCCAATATAGAGACAGTATATTATTAAATAATATGGATGCATGATATTGCCATTTGATCAGATGTGCACTATAGCCCTTGCATAAACAAGACTTTTTGTATTCCTGTGTATTATAAAATGTCAGTCATCTTCCATTTAACTAGTTTGCCAGCCAACTTCATTTTTACAATAGAAATCATCATGGTTGGTTTCCTGCCAGTGCAGGTGATGGAGCCAAAACCAACGCAGCCAACTGTAGTGCCAGCTTGGATTTTGTCCATTGTTAATTCTCCACATTATTTGATATCTTAGGCCATGTTTAGCTTGAGCTTAGACACTAGATTTGCTCACAAAGACTGTTTAAAACAATTTGACTGTACATTGCAAACATCAGTATGTCATGTAATATACTGTATATCTCCTGCAGGCTGACAGGTTTCATGTTTTGTTTTGTTTGTTTTTTTGACTTGTCAACAAAATCTCAGGTGATGGCCAGTATGATATATGTTGAACTTGGTGACAGATATGACAGGGGCCCTCAACTCTGCTTTTTTGTGAAAGGCAACAAGCCAAAAAGGTAACCACTGACTTAAGTTTTGACATTTTGCTCAATTCTGTGAAATGATGTGTAAATATGTCAGCACATGAATAAATGCACTTTGACTGTAAACAACCAAGACTCAGAGTAGATTATAACCTGCTCCCCAGAACAAAAGTCAATCAAACTACTGAAGTGTAATGGGAGCGACAATAAGCAGTTAATGAGAACTGTATGTATTTTTAGGACCAGCAGAGAAAATCCCTGAGAGCGGCAATTAACCTCTGTGTGTATAATCCTGCTTGTATTGTCAGTGCAGGTTAAGGTGTCTGTCACAGCGTATTGTGGTGAGTTTTCATTCATTAGCATGATAGTGGTACTGTATATGTATGTGTTGACACATGATTTGGGCATAAACTTAAAAATCTTAACTTTTGTATTTGTTATTTAACACATTTATTCAGCCTTTTTAGTTTCAAATAGTCATATCAGCTCCAGTGGAAACTTAAATGTCAACACTGAAAAAGGTTTTTTGTCTTTCACTGGTTTGAAATGATTCAAGCCACAGCCAGCTGCCATTTTACTTATTAAAGGTAGTAATTCCATGGCGCATATATTTTTCAATAACAATAAACGGTGTTTTTGTTTGTTTTGGTTTGTTTTGCTTTATTGTTTGTCCACTCTCTGATTAATTGTGACTGGGGCATCTTGTAAACACTGTCCCAGAGAATTTAAATCGGTGTGAAGGGCACTGATGTTTGTCACCAAAAGCATGTGGGAACCATAGTTTACTTACTATTGTCTGAGTCTGTTGTTTATGGTTTGGACTGAGCCCTGTAGATCCAAGTAAGGAATGCCTTATGCACAAGCATACTGTATTTAGATAATATTGTGCTTCTGACTTTGCAGCAGCAGTTTGTGGACCACTGAGGACCAAATTTGGTGTGGATGAACAACAGCTTTTGGATAAATGTAACAGCATTTTGGGGCAAGTCTTACAGAAACTGTTACAGTAGTATGTTAATCCCCATGTAGTGTGACTTTATCTGTGTTTGTCAACCGCCCACTATCTCCACGATCTACCAGAAGCAGGACATGCGGCTTGAGGCCCCCCACACCCTCATCTTATTTGCCAGTGACTTCCATCCACCTGTTGTCACCATCACCTGGACCAGGAGCAGTCGGCTGGTGGGCCAGAGTCAGGTCGGTACTGCTCAAACAAAAACCTCAGCATCTGTACCGGTGAGTTGTGTGCAAGTTAATAAAAAAATCAAACAAGGCAGATTCACAAAATAAAAAGGTTGGGATTGGTATCTCCTATCAAAAACATAGATAGCATTAAGAGTTTTACTGATATATCAGAGTGTGTGTTTTGTACACAAAAACCACCAGATTGTAGTGAGTATGTGCTTGTGTTGTGGTCCGGGGGCAGACTGGAGTTGTACCAGGACTTGGGTTCATCACGAAAGCCAAGGCAGGCATAACACGCATCAAGACAAACAACTGAATGTTGGTGTCAGATGTGTGATTGCGTTTGGTTTTCTTCATACATTTTCCTCTGAGAGTGAAATTTCTTTTTGTCCTCATCAATGTGGTGTTTTATGTTGTGTGTGTGTGTGTGTGTGTGTGTGTGTGTGTGTGTGTGTGTTTTGTTTTTTTCTGTAACAACAATGACTCCAAATCTGACTTAAAAAACATCAGTTAAAGTAATAGTTTGGTATTTTGAGAAATGTATTTGTTTTCTGGCAGAGCATCAGATGAGAAGATGTACAACAAATGTAACACTGCAGCTAGAAGCTAGCCCTGCATTTTAAAGGGGGCTGGTAGTCACTAATTAGAAAGCCTGACTAGACTGGTTTATAGCTCATTGTTCCTCTACAACTAAAGTACAGCAAAGGAGGTTCACATGTCTGTTCCTCTATGTTGTACAAGCAAACACATTATTACAATCACAGAGAACAAATGTATTTATCAGCCCATCATCACAGCAGCCTGTGTGATCACTGGCACGTTCACAAAGTCCACAGTAGTTACTCAGGCACTGACTAAGCTCTGGGCAGATCGCTGCTCCTGCAGCGAATGCATGACATAAATGATCAGTAAATAGTGTTTGTCATATCTGCATGCTGCTGTTTTAATAATGGCACAGAATGCAAATGCTCACAACTGCCTCTGTTCTTTGTCGGATTTATTTGGCTCGGGCCTGAAGCCTGAATCTAATTATTCTCTGTGATGGATGAGATAGCTGCCACATTTTAATGTGGAGGCTCTGAGGGATGACGTTTACACACTGAAAATCCAAAATACTGCCACTTTAGTTTTGCAATGACAGTGTAAATTTTGTGGTGTAGAAATAATTCATACCTTGGACTCTAAGGTTAGGACTGTGAGAACAAGCACTGAATGACAAATGAAGTTCACAGAATTGTTTTGACTGCTGCAGTAATAGGCTTAAAATTGTAAAGGAGGAGTGAAACTACACTAACCACATCTTTGTTTTCCTCATTTACTTGTATCAAATAATGCCAGACCTGACAACAGGCAAGCTGTGATAAAACCTGTGCACAAACGTGAATAATTTCTTATATGGGAAAAGCAGGATTCAGCTTCAGAGGTTTTAGGAGCATGACTGAGTCTTTAGGCTTCTGCATTCAATTTTTAGTGTTTTAAAGGATGATGGGACATCATTTATTTATTTATTCTTTAACAAACTTGCAGTCTCTGCTGCTATACTATACCAACATGCAGGCTTCTTCATGTATTCTTAGTTCTATTTTGCTTGTATTTACGTGTATATTATTTACTGTAGCTAACATCGCTGCTTAATTTGCTTATTTGGAAAAAAAAAAAGAAATTTTTCTCTCGTCATTCTTTAATTAAATGGTTTGAAGAAAACTGTTTGGACCATGACTCTGTCCCCTGCACTTTGCACAGTAGGCTCTATATCCAGCAGGTCATTTAGCTAATTTTCCGCTCTAATCATTTCTACACTCCAGTGTCTCCGACTGTCAGGGTCCATCAGGCCGAGCCAGCTGACTACGGGGAGCCATTCATGCTGCAGTGCAGTGTTCTGTTTTTTTTTTGTTTTTTTTTCCTCAGGAAGTGAGTGTGAGCTGGCTGAGAGATGGAATGGAGGTCACACTGACGTGTGGTCTACAGATGTCCCGGTCAGCGGGGACCGGAGCCTCCAGCTTCGCCCTTACCTGGAGCTAAAAATAATTCCATTGACCATTACTCCAGCAGCTTGCTGACTATTCATTTTAGAGAATTAATGTGCACTGAAAAAAAGGGTGATCAAGGCTGGGAAGTATGGTGGTGCATTTGTTAGCACTGTTGCCTCACAGCAAGAATGTTCTGCGTTTGAACCCAGGCCAACCCGGGGCCTTTCTGTGTGGAGTCTGCGTGTTCTATATGTGCCTGCGTTCTCTCCAGATACTCCAGCTTCCTCCCACAGTCCAAAGACATGAGGCTTAGGTTGATTGGTGACTCTAAATTGCTTGTAGGAGTGAATGTGAATGTGTGTGTAGTTATCTGTCCACATGTCAGCTCTGTGATAGACTGGCGACCTGTCCAGGGTGGACCCTGCCTCCTGTCCAATGTCAGCTGGGACAGACTCCAGCCCCCATGTGACCATAGTCAGGAATAAGTGGTATAGATAATGGATGGATGGATGGATGGTGGCAGCCAGCAACAATGGCACAGAAAAATGACCAAAACCATTAATCTAAGTGTTTTATTAAAAAGACAACATGAGTGACACCTGCAGTTTGAAACAGGGGAAGCCTGACTTCCCATGGCCTGCAGGAGCAAACGCCACTATGTAAACAATTCATCAGGTTGTGTCAGAGTGTGAAATTCCCAGACACTATTCCAAGAATATGACCCAAGTGTAGTTGCTGTACAGCCCTGTTGGTATTATCAAAGACAGTGAAGCTACACACACACATGTAGAGGATATAATAATAAAAACTTACATTACAGATTAGTCTAAATGTGTTTCATTTTTTTTAAATGGCTGTGAATTTTCATATACATGCAAATAAAGAACCTTATCAGAGGATAAGGCTGTTCTATTTATTTTGCAGAGAACCTCCGTCTTTGAACTTCAGTGTGAAAACGCTTTCTTTTTTTTCCAGTCGCATCTGTTCTTTCTCACACCGCTCTGTGACTCTGTAAATGATTCATGCTGCTACAGGTACTTGATTTTGGAATCGATAGGGAACTATAAAAGCTTGAGTCTGAACCCTGGTACTTGTTAATTGGCATTTCAGAGTGAAATACTGACTCACCGTTGTCACTATGGCAAGTCTGTTCAGCATTGTGGCCATGCTGGCTATGCTGTCCACCGGGTTGTGTGAGGAGAAAAACTTTCTGCAGCGGGCTGGTGTGGCCTTTAACAGCAGACAGTACAGGTCTTTGCTTACTGTGAACAACGGAGAGCAGTTTGGAAACTGGACCTGGCCAGAGATGTGTCCTGAAAAGTTCTTTGCAGTTGGCTTCAGTATCAGGGTAAAGATACCGTCTCTTTCACACATTACAGATATTCTCTCTAATATATAACCACAGAGGCAAGGAAAACTGTTCTATAAGTTCAGTGATTCATTTTCTCATTATGGTTTCTATGAAGTGCACTGGCTGCTGAAATGTGCACCATTTACACAGCAGCCACATGTCAAAGTCTTTGCTCTTAGACTCACTTAGAACGAATGATGGGTGGAAAGCAACATGTTCATAAGTCTGAACACTTTTATTCTGAAGACTGTTCTGATGAGCAGCCTTCTTCAGAATGACTGACACTAAGGCAGCTGTTACAGGTCAGTGTGATCAACCTGAGGTGAATCCCCTTGTCCACAAAGAGCTTCATGTAGGTGATTTTTTTTTTTTCTCATGTGTTGATTTTGTCTCATCATTTTTGATAGCGTGTGTATGTGTGTGTGTATATATATTTAGTAATGTCTCTAAGTGTCGCCGAGTGTCAGCTGGGATTGGCTCCAGCGCCCCGCGGCCCTCGTCAGGATAAGTGATGTAGATCATGGATGTATCTTGGTATACTTGAGAAACCAGCATTTGAACAATCTGTGTGTTAACCTGCATGCAGAACAGTTCTCAATAACTGATGCACACTGAATAGATGAACACCTTTGTTTGTTTCGAACACTAACTCACACATGCACAGATTAAAACAAATGCTCTAACGGATGCACACTGAATAGATAAACACCTTTGTTTGTTTCAAACACTAACTCACATATGCACAGATTAAAACAAATGCTCTAACGTTCTTTAGCCTGGTGTGAATTTTAACAGCAGATTTGGTAGCTGCATTACCAGGAGTTAGATAAAGGGCTGGTTTGGCCAGAGCTGTAACTGCCTCTGGGAACTGTGATCTGTTTTGACAGGTGGAGCCAAACCAGTATGGGGGGGATGATACCGCCCTGAACGGGATTCGCCTCATCTGCGCCAAAGATGGTGCCCGAAGCTTCCTGTACTCTATTGAGTCCCACACTGGCTAGTAAGTAGCCCACTCTCGTGAATAAAACACCCATTTTAAAGGGCTCCTAAATTATAATTTTATCAATAATTTCTTAAAACTACTATTGTTATATGTCATATGCCTTTGATGGGTATTTATCCTTTGGTACCACCTCAGTGCCACTTTCTAATAAGCAGTTAAGTCAGCAGGTAATGTAAAAGTCAGCCATTAAAAGGGGCAGTGTGTTAAACTGTAAATAAATGGTCAAGATTGCCTGCAGCCCTTTTCTGTAATACAGGGTGGGCCATGAGAGCGTGGCACGTACATGGACTACTATTCTGTGGCCCACCCTGTATTAATACATTTTATTTATATAGTATTTTTTAAACAATGTTACAAAGTGCTTTACAAAGGAAAACCACAAATATAATCTGGTAAATTATAGCCCAGAGAAAAGAACCCAAATAGAATAAGATAAAACGGTACCGAAAAGAAACTTAAAACACAATAGAAATGGACAAATAATATGTTTAACAAGTGACTTAAAAGGTGTCGCCAATTATATGAAGCATCAAAGGGAGTTTTCACAACCTGGCAACCCAAAACAGCTTTTTTATACTGACTCCTAACATAAAAATAAAGCACTGGTAAATGACATATTAAGCATTATTAAAGCTATTAATTACAACTTTTAAATGCTTCATACATGGTTCCTTATTAGAACGTATGCCTACAATAAAGCCAATTTGTAAAGCCGATTATTAAGGGTGCAGCAACTCTGAACATATCACATTAAACCCAGATGTAAACACACTCGGTTTTGCTTGCATTTCATTTGTAGCAACACATGAGCATTAAATAAACTGTCCTGTCACATCTGCACGTGGTCCGTTTCTCCAACAAGAAAGAAAACACCTGCGCTATGGACACTTCTTATTGATCTGAGGAAACTGTGGGTTCAGTATTCCCACCTTGATACAAAGGTCTTTATATAAACAAGCCAGCTTTCAGCAGCAGAAACACTAATGCTGGACATTAATGGGCGTCAATAGGAATACTTTCCTTCCCCATCGTTGAGCGTGTCTGCCACTTGCTACAGGCTAAAATGTTTTTTATTGATGTTTGTCTGCAGCTCTTTGTTTTGTGGCCAGGTCTACCTTCTGAAATAAATCATTGATCTAAAAAAGTACTAAAAAAATTTAAGTGGAGAAATGAAGGCACTTCTTCTGCCAGGTTTGCACATTAGGTGTTCAGGTGATGAAATGTCTTGACTTTGTTCCAGTGTTCCCAACCCATATCTTGGAGCTTTTCATCATTTCTTTCCCCTCCACTCTCCTGTCCAGCTTTGGCGACTGGTCCCAGCCTCAGTACTGCCCCACTGGTGTGCTCACGTCTTTCCAGATTCGTGTGGAGCCCCATCGGGGAATGTTTGGTGATGACACGGCTGTCAACAACATCAGGTTCCGCTGCAGCAGTAACCCGACTCTGGAGGGACCTGGTACGGAGTGGGGAGAGTATGGCCACTGGAGCCAGGAATGTCTTGATGGAGGAATCTGTGGCATTGAGTCCAAGATGGAGGAATACCAGTACGGCCTGGATGACTCCAGCCTCAATGATGTGCGCTTCCACTGCTGTGCCAAGCCTCAGCAGGTAACATGGAGGGTTAAATAGTGGGAACCAAAACCCAGAAAGAGCTGAGTGGTTAATGACATGTCCACAGAGATCCAAAGGGTGTACATACAGTAGATTCTGGGTGGCTTTCAGAAACCTCAAAATGTTGGATGTGCTACAACCAAAAATGTTTAGCCCAAACCTTTTTGTCTTCTCTTAAGAAATTCCAGGCAGTGATAGAAGAGGTATTCAGCTGCTTTGCTTGAGTAAAAACACCAGTACCACAGTATAAAAACAGGCCACTACAAGTAGACAATCGTTCTCAAGAAAAAGTACAGAAGTATTATCAGCAAAATGTACTTGTTCTGCAGAAAAGTCCCTTTTCGTGAGGGTGGTATGAAATAGAAGTACAGCTGACTAAAACTGTACTTGAGTAAAGGTCAGCAGTTGCTTTTCAACACTGGTTACAGGTTCTTGCTGAGCTCAGTGAGGTCTGGAGAAACTTGGGGATAAAATCTGCTAATAATAAGGCTGAATTTAAGCTGGCTCTCATGAAACACTGAGTCAGTGACATTAGCCAAAGGGCAACATAGGTACTGTTTTTGTTCTCAAACTCTCGGCCAGTCGAACAGCTGTGCTAGAAGTCCTCATCATCTTGCAATATTTTTGATGATGTGACATGAAATTTTCTGGCTGCTGAAGGAGCTTTACCAACAGCTGTTCCTCATGCTGGGAAATGTTCTGGCAGTTTTCTCAAATCACAGGACAGACAGGAAACGCTGACACAGATTATGTGTCACCCTGGTGATGAGAATGTAAAAACGTGACTTGAAAATCAGGCTGCAGCCATGAATGTTAATCTTAAAATGTCTATTTAATAACACATGCTAATGCTGCTTTTATGAAATATGGACAATGAATTTCCACAGCTTTTTTGTTACATCTTATTTGTGTTTTATATCGATTTTAACTGCTAAACACCATAAAGCTGAGCTACATCACAGAGCACAGGTAGGTTAGTTTAACCCCAGGTGCTTAGACTGGAAACACATTTGTCTGGAAAATCTCTGTCATCTAGGGGTGGCAGATTTTTAAACTACTGTCCAGTAACTAAGCTACTTTCTGTTGTTTTCAAGCCCCATTTTTTGTTTTGTTATTGGGCTTTATTATCCTGAATGAAAGATATTTATTCTAGTTCTAATCAAATAGCATGATCTGACTGGTGCCTATAGGTCTGGTGTGTTATGAGCCACAGCATCTCCTTATAAATGCAGACATTTGATCTCATCAGAGCTTTTCTCTCATCTTTTTATGTATTTTCCTTCTTTTCAATATAAAATCAAAAACCATTTTAATGTATAAAAAGTTTGCAAAGGTGATTACATGAACCGATTCAAACATAAAATATTCTGCATACACACTACATTTTGTGACAGCTTTTACCTGCTGCTGATTAATTTGTTTTATGTTTATATTGACAGTGATCTGCAGGTGAGAACCTTGGTCGAGCCCATCTCCAACACTCGAAACTCAAAGATGACCAATAATAAAACACTCATCTGAATTGCTGCTGTCTCTGTAATACTTCCCTGCAGTGTCTTGCATAGTTCCAGCATTAGTATCAAAGTAAACTAGACAATATTTGCCAGAGCATCCAGCTTTCAAAACAAAATCGAGTGTCACCTTCAGCAGCAAAAACAAAAAGGAGCTGCTTCAAATCGAGCCTTCGTCTGGAGTCACGTTTAACACAATGTCATCCCCTGCTCGCCCTCATCAGCATGAGAGCAGCAAGTTTCCATATCCTGTCCAGTGAACCAACGAGCTCACAGCAAAGTCATAGTAAGTGCAAGCACAAAACGGAGGCGCTGACCCAGGCATTTCCCAGAATTCCTGCTCGAACTAAGGTAATTAAGAAATGACAAGTGAGGGGGTATTAATTAATTTAGAGTTTAAGGCCTGACAAACGCTGATAAGACACCGACTGGCACACACAAAGGTAGCTGTGTTAATTAATCAATGACTAGTTAATCTGCTAACACGCAGCGTGTGCGGAGGGTTGGGGAGCAAACTCGAGGACATTATCAAATGCTGCAGTAATGGTTTTCACAAGGTTTTGCAAGTCGAGGCAAAGCGATGACAGACTTCCACAAACAGCTATAGAGCCTCTGTTATGGTAATGAATGCACACACGCTGACCTCATCTAAATTTAGTGTACTTGGTCTGCTGTGAACATATTACAATCATCAGGAGGAGGGTTGACAAGGGAAGCAGCTGTGTGCGGAGTGAGTTCACATCAAATAAAAAAATAAAAAACACAGCCATCTGTTTTTTTAAATGTCTAATAGGTGCATACAACCTGCTGAAGTTTGGAGGGAACGAGGTGTCACCTTTGAGTTGCTTATTTTGTCTGAGCAACAAACCTGACTGAGTGTGACAACCATTACAAGCTCATACTCTGTAGCCAAACACTGTTCAAACAAAAACTTTAGATTTTAATTAAAGATTCCAGAGATGCACAAATTGTCAAGGTTAATGTGTGAGAGACATTTAACATGATGCGTTTTCACTGTTCAAACTTAATTTAGCCTCAGTGAAGCGTTGAAGCAATTGATACATAATATACACGATCCCGTCTGGTAATGTGGAATAAAGGCTTTTAATGACATCATTCCACAAAGTCGATGGACTTGTGATAGAATAAAGACTAGTAAAAACTGAAAGAGCAGGGGCTGAAATATCCTGACTTTTAATTTAAATCAAGCTTCAAACATGCAGGATCCTACATTTTCTATAATGCAACTCATTAGACCTTTCCTGCCTGCATTGCCCCTTAATTTCATGCTTCCAGTTTTCATGGCACAATTTAATTTAACAAATCCCAGCTGACATAATTTCTCAGACTTTAGAAAGCATTGTGCAGCTGTTTTCACAGGCCCTAAGACAAATAAATGGACTCTTTGTGTGTTAAATCAGTAGAGTGTCACTGATGGGGGATATTAATGGGAAAACAGACTTTAAAAAGCTAATAAATTGATTGTACAACAATTTGAAGAATCTGTAAATCATCAAGCTGACGCCTACAAATATTTGTCGTTTCAGTTGATTCATTTGTGACGGTGTCTTTATTTGACTGGCACTGTTTTCTGGCCTCAGGGCTACAGAACTGTTGGCGTTTAATTAGCAGGATGAGATGCACCTGGGCCAAGTGTGTCCCAAATGTTGCCCTACATGCTTTTTAATTACATGTTGTAAATACGTAAATGATTATCATTTATTATATTTGTCTTTCCTTTGTGTTCCAGTCTAACAGCCAGGCTGTGACAAATTGTTAATTATTTAATTAGTTTTCTGTAGTTTTTAAACCACAGTTGATTAAATATTAATAAGTGACCAATCATTTCATCACTAAAACATCCAGTGAAGTCCCGTGTACCTCTCACCGCACATGAGGCCTTGAACATCCACTAGATGGCAGTAGTGTGTTAAGTGGGACTTCAACTCACACTTCACCAGCGCGTGTGACTGTTATGGCACCATACATCCAATATAAATATCTAGGGTGATTTTATTTACCATAAATTCTAGATCAGTGAGTTTAACAGTGTTTAATACCTGGCACAGCCATGAGGCTCCACCTCTCAGTGCAGGCCAGAAGCTCCCAGGCCACAAGGGCCTAAAACCTGCACTGAATCAACGACAACCTTGACCTTAATGCTGTCACAGCATTCTGTACTTCAACTGTGAAAACAAAGGAACGTCATTATTCAAGTTGCTGAACCTCTGAGTCTTAGAGCAGAGCCTAACAAATATAGCGCCCCAGGTCATAAGTTTAATATCTGAACCACAGGATCAATGTGTTTCTGACCAGCTTAGTGGCTCACTACTGGCCCCCAGTCTGCCTCAATAGCCATTAACACCTCCTGCAGTCACCAGAATAGATATGGTGTTTGTGATTTGGTTTGAGGCAAAGCCTTCTTCTTAATGACCTTCCACTTCCCTGGGCTCTGAGCTCATAAATTATAGCCTAGATCACATCAGCTGTGTTGACTCAACTGTAAGTATGGTTCAGTTCATAAACACCATAGGGTTATTATGATGTGTGCTGACCTGGGATTTGATGTGAAATATTGATGCATGAGAGACAGTTTTGGGGCTGAATTGCATTGTTTTGATGCAAGGGTAAAATAAATGGTATTGTTGTGATGTTAGGGTGCAAAGGCTATAAAGATGATCTATTCTAAGGTTTCCACAGTAATGAAGGTAATAACCAGATGGAGTAGATTTAAAGAAAAAAACAAGTTCCTTTCTCAGAGGAAAGCAGTGATTTGAGTCTATGACTCTCATTTCCCTGCTGCACTCTGCTTCTGTTTCTATTGCCACTGTGTTCAGTGGACTGAGGCTGTCATTTCATCTTTCATTTACTTTCTGGGTTCCTCCAAGGGCAGCACAGACTGTCCTTGTAGCCTATAGAGCAAGGCCACAACACTTCTAAGAACTTGCCTTTGCTGGTTAGCTGGAGCACCTGATCAGGAACATTTATTGTTCTCAAATCTGCATGTTCTTGTTCTCAGTATGTTTTCCCTTATTTTGGACTTGCTGTTTTGCAGGCGGGAGAGTCTGCTATACCGCCTGTTTCCCCTTAGAGATGTAAAAGGAATATACATTCTTAAATGAAGATTTAAAGCCAGGAGAATGTATGTGCCTGAAATGTGTTCATGGGTTCACGAAAATGAAGAAATTAACATCCACAGTAAGAGCACAATATTTGCCATACACGTCAGATTGCCGTAATCTTGTGCCTGTTGTTCCTGCAGTTCAGACTTGTGCCATGTTGAGAGTGATATGTAACTACATCCAACCTAGTAAGATTGTCATTTTGACTTTGATGGAAGATTTGACCAGGGTGCTCTTTCAGACATGAAACCAACACTTTCAAATGCTATCAGATTAATGAAAGGGACCATATGTCTGACCACATGGCTTTTAATGGCCAGTATGGACAGGGTGAATGAATACACTTACACCAGACTGTATGCGAGCACCTGGCTATAATTTTAAGATACACTTGAAAAATTGTGAACTTGTTATTTAATCAGTGCATGAGTTTAATCTAGAGCTAATGGACAATTCCTGAAAAAAACTTTGTGCTCCAACATCTAATTTACTTCTAGCCAGCCACCTTACTAAACAAACCTCACATTTCTTTTGACACAAAAGAAGCAAGGACATGTGTACACATTAAATATAAATCATTTTATAATATACAAATTGTACAGATGTCATGAACAATAGGAGTGTGGACATACTCAGAATAGCAAAGATAAAGAATAGGCTACTATTTCTTCATCAATAGCATAACACTGCTATGCAAGTAACAACAGCACATGATCAAAGGTACTCAACATTCAAGATGGCAGCCGAGGTGATGAAGAACTAACATCAGAGAGACAAAACCTTAGCATACATTTTCCAGAGGCTGTGAACAAACTAAAGTGGCAACACAGAAAAAAAATATGATGGCATCCTATTGTATCATGTTCTGTCATTTCTACTCTGCCCACTTCACATCATAGTAGCACACAGATAATGAACCATTATGTTTTTACAGCATTACCAAGAACGATTGCACCAGCGCCACTACTGAGGCTTAGAGACAATTACGCTGATATAAGACAGGAAACTATATGTGACAGTTTTTTTTTTTTAAACATGAACTAGTTGAATGGTGCAAATGTGTACTTAAACATAACATTAGTCAAAGGTCTCCTTCTTTTCACTCAAGGCTAAGTTAATATGATTCAGCATAATTTAACTGATGAAGCATCAGAATATGTGCCTGCTTTTCTACCATAGGCCCTGGAGTGTATGAGGGAGAGGTGGAGCCCTGTCGGCCTCAGCCTCAGGTAGATCAGGCGCACACAGGTAGGACAGGCGCACACAGGGCCAGCTGTAACTTTTGTCAAGGTTATGAGTGGCTGAGTGTGCAACTGAAATGTAGTGGGAGTCACTAAAACAAAACAAAACAAAACAGCAGTATTGAGACATGAGATCACCTCTCCACATTTCCAAACTCTACCTTTTTAGATAAAATGGAATGTGATCTGTCTGTTTTCACAGGAGGAGGATTCATGTCACAGTTTCAGATAAAAAAAAATAAGGCAGAAATACTGAAATAAATTTATAAAACAGGTAGATGACAGTTAAAATGTTTATCTTGATGCTGGAGAGCATGAAGAAGTTGATTAAATCTGATGAAATCAGTTGACTTGGGTTTACTTGGGAAATCTGTCAAATATTCATAAGAATGTCATCAGCTATCAAAAGGCGTCTTCTGGTGTTGCCTTTCATAATTTGTATTTGTAATATCCTGACAAGCGTGTGAAAGTGACAGCCGAGTCTTTATAGCTCCCCAAAAGTTCTGATGTGAGAGGCAGCATAAAATATCATAAAATATTTTTTTGACTACAATAAATGTTCATTAAAGCTCAGACAGCCAAAAGCTAAAAGCAGTTAAAACAATCAAGTAAACACAGAGAAAAAGAAAATATTATGATACAACTTCATATTTAATTCATGAGTGGTTATTTGTCATGTGCTCGTGCAAACTCCTGTGTACAGCTGTGAAAAATCCATTGTGGCCCAAATATGGCCCTCGACCTTCTGTCATTAGCGATGACCTCGAGCTCACATGTCTGGGCTCTATCCTGGTGGAGGGCGAGAGGACAAGGAGCACATGTTTCAGGGGTTCACACACGCTGCGACCCCTCAGTTTAAAACCAACAACAGCCCTTGGGAGGTAGCTTGAAGCATCAGTCAGAAATACATTTTACTAAGGTTTAGCGGAACAACAGAGGCAACACAAAGCCCACAGTAAAAAAAAAAAAAAAAAAAACAAAACATATTACCTTCATATAGACAAACACTTCAAATCTTTTATCCCCTCGCTGTAAATTCCAGTAATAAACAACAGTTTTAAAATACCAACACTGACTGCAACAAAACACTCCTGTTCAACTCTAACAAACATATAACACTTAAATCACCACTGTGCGGGCCGTTTACACTATAGTAATAAGGCTAAACTGGTCACTGGTTTATATCTTCTATTCTACACAAAATCATTTTACATTGAAACAAATCTCAGCAGCGGATGGATGAATCCCCCAGAAGGAGTGCACTCATTCAGCGTAATCAGTCTTAATTTTGTGTGAATGAAGCGTGTCATCTCCAGAAGGAGATTTTTGTCTTGACCAACATGTCTATTTTTGTAAAACAGAAAACCCAAATTATGACAAATTATAGTCTGTATAAAGCAGGAGACCAGGTAGTTTCAGTTCTTGATTAACCAAATACTTACAATGCTCAAACATTTTAATAAATAGTTTTATTAAACATATTTTATGAAGTGTGTGTATAAATTTTTAACACAAATGTTTCCTTCTTAGTGCAAATGATTCCTAATGACATCACCGTTAAATCTGAAGGCTGTTTGATTGGCTTGATATGTTGAGGTGTTCTTCTGTCAATACCTCTCCAACAAGTGGCCTTCGTTAGAAATCCATGGTTCCTGACAGATACCCCACTGATCAAATCCATTAGTGAGCTAATGAGAACTCCACCGTGAGCGTCCGCCAAACCCACCCCCCCCTCGTTCCCCTTTCTAAATGGAATGCTACACAGCGCCATGAAACAGCACATTATGACTTGGTTTCTGTCAGAAATTATGTCTGGTAAGAGGTGCTTAAAGAGCTGGAGGTAAAATAATGAGGGAAATCTCAACAGGGAATGTGAAACACAAAAGGCTGTTACTTTAAATGAACCTATTTGTTTCTTTTATTTGAATCTCTTATGCTCTGTGATCTTTTTCTTCTGCTCTCAACCTCTTTCTTTGTCTCAGTTTCTCCCTCTCAAGCTTCGGGTTTTGTCTCAGTAAGCAACGATCTTCGGCCCTGACCACATAGCTTAACCTTGTTTCCATGCTGACAAGTGCTTTTCTTTGCGACCACTGACTAGAAATATAATTAAAAATGTTATTTTGCTAAAAATAAATCCTCATTCCTGTATGAAAAAGCCATAGATGCATCTAAATAGGAGATCAGCTACTGAGCTGTAAACATTCAGCTAAATGTCACATCCTTATTTAACTTGGCTTTGAATATGGAACATTCTACGCGCAAGGTGAGCTTAGCACACAACATTAAAGAGTGATTATCAACTCTGAAGCACTTAACAGCTTAGAGCTCAGAGTAAACAATTACCTCCTCACCCTACTTTGGATTGCCTGTCGCAACAAACACCTCTACCAGTGTTTTCCACGTGTTCTTCACACACAACTCCCCACGGTGAACAAAACAGAGGAACAGGAAATGATGATGCAGTCTGATCAAATAGCACACTGTTCTGAGCATACCCACCTTTGTACTGTCAGTTGTGTGGATGAGGCAAACCTGTGTCTTGTCACAACTGTGTCTCTTGAATTTTCTGGAGCTGACTTGTCTTTCCTGAAAAGAGCAGCTAAACTTGCTCTACAGTTCAAGTACCTTTCAAAAACAACATCAGTGTTGTTCTTTCAGGTTATCGAACTAACCACAATTAGACGGGTTGCAAGTTTATGTTTGACTCGACATTACATTGCGACGAGAATGAAACCCTTAAAGGCCTGGTCACACCAGAAAGTGGCGCAGTATAATTTATTCCTTTACTTTAGTAAAATGTATGGTTCTAAAAGCTTGATGACATAGAGACACGTTGACAAGGCTGCCTGCATACTTTGTTTTTTAATTGGCCTTGTGAGCACAGGCATTGGCCCAAAACAATCAACTGAACATGCCAACCAACACCTAGTCTATCACCACTGTACTGTATTTTAGTCAATGACACGTTACTGAAGGGGTAAAAAAAAAGCTCTTAAATCTAGAAGGCTTGCTAACTGACACTTAGCTTGGTCACTAACAGGACAATACATTCACACAGTTTACACAAGGTCATATTTTAGTCATATCTGCAAAAGATTCCTCTTTTGTGGATAAGATACAGTAGCTTCCTCCATTTTGGACTCATTGTCCAGACCAGGTTGTTTTTGATCAACAGCACCAATTTCTACATGATGCAAAGAATTTGCTTTTCCCTCAAGAATAAATTCACAAATTTTGCTCATTCTATTTCACTTCTAAGTTTTGCCATTGATACTAATGTGACCAGCCCCTCAAATGTTGTTAATTCATCTTAAGTTAAACAAAAACTTGCCCCATCTGATCAAGGTAACGTTTTAGATATTCACTGCTCATCAAGTGACTCCAAGCTGACTAGCTTGCACCAGCATCCCCTGTTTTGGATACATTCAGTATGTGTGGTTGTACAGTAGGACTGATGTATGCAATCACATGAAATCATTCTGTAGCTACATGGTTGGCAGGTTGTGGGGAAATCATCCATGAAAATGTCAGGTTTGAAGAATGCTGCAGCGAAGGGGAGCTATGCCCCATTAATTTGGATCAGGGACAATGTTGTGAACCAGTCCTTATGTTGGGCAATTTGAGAGGTAGGGTGGGAAATAAACCTTGACTTGGACTACTCTGGCTACTCGAGAGTCTCCTCTGGGCTGTGATCGGTTGATATGGCCTGGGAATCTGCCACAGTGACCTCCACGCCTGCCGGTTCTTCTGTCTTGTGTGTGATCACGTTCCCCTTGTTCTCGTCTTTCTCCTCATCGGTCTCGACCCCATTTTCAATCACAGCTTCAACTTCTGCTATGCCCTCGTCCTCTTTTTCTTTGGTCTTTCTCTTTGTTCCGACAGTCACAGTAGTTCCTGCCACTTCCTGGACTTCTCCATTTTCTAAAGGCTTGCCATTCTCTTTTGACCCCTCTCCATCCACTGTGATTTTTTCTTCTTCCTCTATGCCATTTTCTGCTCCTTTGTCTTTTGTCTCTGCTCCCTCATCTTTCTTTTTGACAGTCTCTATGCTGATTTTGATCCCATCATCAATCTTTCTATCTTCCTCACACTTCATTTCTCTTTCTGGTGATGTCTCACTTTGTCTCACTGCGCCTACGTCTGTTGCATTCACCATTTCATCCCTATTCTTGTCCCTATCATCAAGAATCTTAGGATCTTCAGCATCTTTGTCTGTTTTTGTTTTTTTCTTTTTCTTGTTCTTTGCTGTGTCTTTAATGTAGTTCTTGCTGGACTTGCTTCGGGTCTTGAAGATCAATTTCTGAAACATTTATATTAGCATGTAAGTGGAATGCATTGTATCTCTTTAATTTTCGGCCCAAAGCATTATGCACAGACTTAATTAAGAATGGATCACAGTGGATCTAATATTGCACTGGGATAACTAGCTAATTCAGACGAGTCTCATTGATGTAGAGAAGGAAACTGAGGCCATTTTGAGGGGAGTTATTGGTGGCCTCAGGGCTTTCAGTCTGACCAAACAAACAGGCAAAAATTTAATGCAATACATCCTCAATTACTTGAACATTTTCTGCAGGGCTCTGGCTGCTACAGGGACATAGAAAACTGAGATAAACTGCAAAGAAACAGGCAGCAAAATCTTGTTAACGCTAGCAATTCTTAGAGTCTTAGGGCCTATTAAATTTGTTTTTGTGCTGGCAGTTTAAATTCAGGCCACAGAAAGCGTCAACATGGATTCATTCCACTGTGGACAAAGGTTAGCTTTAGAGGTTATCATCACTATTCAGTGCCACCAAGAAAGCATTATCAACCATACTTCCCCAAACACATTTATCTGTTGCTGAAGAATTCCTGATATCGCAAACAGAGAGGAGTTTCTTCACGTTTGTTCATTGATGCGTGTGTTTGTTTACTTAAAACAAAATCAGATGCGAAAGTGGAGGTGGCAAAAGGTGATGCTGGCTTTGGATATTTGGCATGGGGATGACAGAATAACTGTAGGAGACCTCACCTTAGACAAGAAATACAAGGATGAATGTGAGGTCAGTTTACCTTGGATTCCTTTCTCTTTCGGCCCAAGACGGGTCTCTGCAGGAAAACAATCTGTTTGGTGGACAGACTTCCATCGCTAGAAGATGAGGATGAAGGGAAAAAAGCAAACAGAAGAGAACCAGATATTTTTATTTTTTTTAAATCAAACACTTGTT